TGATATAAAAAAATTTTCAATAAAAATTTTTTTACTTTAAAAAATCACATAATATAAAAAATTAAAAAAAAAATTTTATTTTAAAAATCTACTGATAAAAAAAATTTTCAAAGAGAAATTTTTTACTTTAAAAATCACATGATATAAAATTTGTGAAAAGAAACTTTTACTTTAATAATCACATGATATAAGAAATAGTCGTGAAGAATAGGTGTAGTGGATGGAGGTGGTGGGTGGTGGTGGTGGGTGGTGGTGGTGGGTGATGGTGGATCAAAAAAAATTTTTATTATAAAAATCATGATATAAAATATTTAAAAAAGAAAATTTTATTTTAAAGATCAAATGATATAAAAAAATATTTAAAAAAAATTTGTAGTTTATAAATCAACTGATATAAAAAATTTTCAAAAAAAAAATTTTTATCTTAAAAATCAAATGCCATGTTATCTGCATTGAAGCTTTTTTTCCTTAATGTTTAAAAATTCATATCTTCCAGAGAAATAAAAATATCGACTTCTTTCTGGGCTTATCTTAGAGATAAATTATGTGGCTATTTTCTAAAAAGTCGTGATTTTATTTAAAAATTGCCGATTCAATATGACCGATTAAAACGTCATTTTATTGAAAATTGTTAAAATTTGTTTAATTAAAATGTAATTTGGTATAATTGTTATTGGGAGATGTATGGGATTCAATACGCAGCGCGCGCGAAGCGCGCGCCTGTTATGTACTAGTTAAATAAAACATCATGAAAAATAACAAAAGCTATATACGTTACTACTACAATAAAAAACAAATAAACGGATAACTTGTAATTTATAATATTTGTATATGTATGTCAAATGCTATCAGCCGTCTATCTTATAACAACAAAGATAAATTTCTTATTAATTTAACTTAACGCAGAATAATAAATACAATTAATTAATTAATTGAACTGACCTCGGCACCAGGCGCTTTTCTTCCCGTGATGTCTAGCAGCGCATATCCTTCCGATAACGGCTTTGAAATTACATCTTCTATCGTAGCCGCTGTCTGTGCATGAAAACGTACAAGTCGTGCAGAATGGGAAGGATACTCCGTTGTCATTAACTGGATTTCCAGCTGGTCCAATTTTGTGATAGCCTGATTGCATTAATACTAGTACTAATAATCAAGTTCAAATATCAAATAGATAGATATACGCGAGTCGATTAAATTCAAAAACGCTACATTCACTGATTAATCCACTACAGATAATTAGAAACCTTGCTAACGCTCACCGATTGTGCAAAATCGAAAAAAGCCTTTGCTCTATTGAACAATGTATTGTAATGATCTAAATCGTTAATATAATCGGCTGCAGTACTAAGAATCATATACGCCTGTTCGGTCGCTTGTTCGCCTGCAAAGTGTCCCGATGACACTAATCGTTCGGTCGATTTAGTTATTTTAATGGCCTTATCTTGAAACTCCTAAAAAACATTAATTTTTTCTTTTTAAAAGAGCATTACTTTGTAACACGTATATACATATATCAAGGATTATATAGAGAAAAGTGAAACATATCTAATTATCTTTGATGATACTAGCTAAATTATTTTCTTTTCGAATACCTTTGCTTCAACTTGCAATTTTTTTAATTCAAAAAGGAGCAGTTCTGCACTAGATACAGAATCTCCCAATTGATCGCAACTGCTCTCTAATACAGCGATTCTGTTATTGAGAATTTCTTCGAGATTACGAAGATCAGTCGCGAGCAGCGCGAGAGCAAGACATTGCTCCAATTGAATTTTTCTGCTACGAAAAGATGTCTCAATCAGCCGTCTTCTATCGTGAAGTTCTTCCAGCCATTTTTCAACTCGCAACACAGCTAAAATATTATATTTAAAATATTATATCATAAATCTTGATTTTATGTATAACCGCGAGTTAACTGAATTGATAATTACAGATATCGGATAAACATTTGACATACCATGATTAGCTTCGTCTTTAATCGTATCCAGCCTAGAATCTAAAGTGCCTTCGTTTACCAAATCCTTCAGTTCATCCAGCAATGTCTTACCCTCACGCAATGCACCCATCAATGCTTCCAACATATCTTTGCGAAGATCCTGAATCTTGGATAGAAAACTTTTTACTGCCTCTATCTCGATCGGTAGTAACGTGTCGTTACATGCCATTTCTAACGCCTCCATGCGTTCTCTACATTCTGTCGCGCGACTATAAAAAATATAATCTATTTTATTAAATAATTAATTTAAAGTATGAATAATATTATAATTGATTACACTTTGCTATACCATTGAAATAATACGTTTCGGTCGAGTATTTCCTTACGACGTTCTAAAAGCTGATTTACATCGCGCCATGCCTGACCTAATGTCTCTGCCATGGCAGTGTATACTTCTGCTCTTGGTCTCTGGGTCGCGATTAATTGATCAGCTTGTCGCAATAATTCTTCTACCGGGCTTTGTTTATTCTGATTATGACAAAATTTTAATTAACAGAGACCTTAAGCAATCTATTTAATTAGATTTAATATAAACTTTTACATAATTCAAAACTTTGTATGCTTGGTATGTTTAACTTTACCTGTAGTCGATGTAACACTTGATCGTGTGCATTCGAGAGTTCGGTGGCCTCTTTTACAGAAGCACCAAGTTTCGTTAATTCTGGTTGTAGCTCGAGTATTTTCAACTTAAGCCATTCGCCGCTCTGAACAGAAATGATAATAAAACGATGTAATAATAAAACCATCAGAGTCCGAGTCTTCCGATAGTATAAACATAGCATAGTTAAACTGAATATCATTAGATACCAAATTATTTATAAAATCATTTTTTTATAATTAAGTAGTAGAATATTGTATTCACAATATTTTAAATAATTGTAGAGTGTAATAAATAACAAAGAAAATCTTAGAAAATGTTGACTCACTTATGCCGCAATATTAAGATTGTTTCAACCCTCAAATAAATTTCGGAATTATCTAACAGTTATATATGTATAATATCGTAAATAAAAGTTACAACATTTTTTTTTCTTCTAGAATTATTGACGAGAAGAGAAGGAAAATAAGAAGAATGAGAAGATCAGTCCTCCAGAGTTCATCAACCTAAGGTTGGGCCGCAGAAAGAAGCAAGATATGTTTCCATTTTCATCTTTGGCATACTGCCGAATAACTACGTTTGAATTGACCAATTTTCTCTTCTGGTGTATATCGCCACTTGAATGATAAAATTACTTCTTTTTTTTTTATTTAACATATTTGAGTGAAAAGAGATGTATTATTTCATGATCATCTTTTTAAAGATATCAAAATACCTGATAAAGGTAGCAAATACTCGACATATATATTTATTGAAAGTTTAAGAAATATGTTTATGTCGTATTATAAGAAAAAAAGAGGCGATTTTTATGATTTGTAATATGTAGTTAGAGCGAAAGCGAGTCTTATGGTCAACACGGCACAAATTGAACATGATTTCATAAAAACACGTGCGCGTGTGTGCGTGTGTACGTATGTGTGTGTGTGTGTGTGTGTAAACTTTACACATAATGAAATATACTGATGTGATTAATCATCATATTTGGCATACGCTTAAAATTGGACTAACCCGATATCAAAGACGGAAATATCCAATATAATTTCAAATAGAAAAGATTATTTCTTATGTATTATTTGCTAGGAAGATTAGACTAATAAACGTGATAATACAACATGCAATAGAAGTGAATACTTGATAAATTCTCATGCTTGGCGATGTTAGTAATTATATAAATAAATAGATATGTGTCCACACATACGTTTAGAAATCTCTACTTAACATTTTCTCTCTTGTTTTAGACGTAGAAACACTATCGTTAGATAGCAGATACGATATAGGCGAAGGTACGAAGGAAAAGGAAGAACCATGCCACTCGTCCGCCACTGAGCCGGGCCAGGTTGGGCCCAAGCTGCCTCAAGCTGTCTCGCACATATATATAATACCGGTTTGTTAGATTATACGAGAGTATGCGGATCCATGCCACGAGAGATCTCTCTTAGAGATCTTCGATATGAGAAAATTTATCGATTACTCAATCTACTTATCAAATTTTGCAAGATCTAGATTATATAGATACAGTTGATATAAATTTATTACAGTGTATTCTACATTTTAATATAAATTAAATTCATAATTTATATTAGGATAAAAATTTATGTGCATAAATGATTCTCGTCTTTCAAATCGTATTCAATTGTTGTTAGATAAGATATTAAATTAAGAGATTAAAAATTTAATTTTATACGTTAAAAAAATATTTGCTCTATTCTCCAAGCTTCTTAATTCTTTTGAGAAATAATCAAAATGATAAAAATTTAAATTTGTAATTAATAATGGAATGCTTAAAATATGTAACTTGCATGGATTGTGCGATAGTGATCCTAAATACTTCAGAATCCAACGTAATGTATATAAGATGGGTTTATCTGATCATGGTGGTGTGTAATGGGAGTTACTGTACCTAGCGGTTAAATTTATCCTTCGTGGAGTTTCGGGAGACTCGTTTTGCTCAGCGGATACCTAAAACGCTTACGGTTTCGAGAGGACTCGGAAATAGCTATGGACCGAGGCAACCGAATCCCGAAATACCTACACCATAGTGTCATGTATGAAATCGCAACTGAAGATTATTTTTTTACCAACAATAAGAATTATTGGAATGAAACAATCCATATTTTATATTTCACTTTCACAGAAATAATTTAAATTTAAAATTTATAGTATTTTCCAAAGTTTCTAAATAAATTTATTTCTAAGTAAATTAATTAAAATTATTTGCGTTGACAGAACGAGACCGTAACAATAAAATGTATATTAAATAAATTATTAATAGATAAAGATGCCACACATGTTTCTTACTTGAAGTAAAGCGATTACTACACGCGTTTCTCCGCTTTGCACAGCTATGGTACTTATAGTAGTAGTTGGGGAGATGATTTGTTGCGGCGTATTCTCGTCTCTTCGCATCACAATTTCTGAATTCGTCTCAACAGATCCTTCGGGATGCACGTGTGCCTCCATCGAGTCAGGACCATCCACCATCATTGTTAATTTTAGCTTTCGTGCGATAATTAAAATGTTTATTAAGATCATAACGTGTTAACAGACACTATAGGTGATTGACAATTATAATCGCGATATCATTATTATACGTGCAGGTGAGATACTCACTGGATATTGATATACGCTACAAAAGCAATGGTTGCTGAACAATATAGTTGCTGAAAATTAAGAGAGTATTACGCGACGCGTTATAGTGACTATCATGCGTTTTGACCGGACACAGTGATTTCAATGCCCGATGCTAAATATATTACAATGACGTACGTCGATGAAACGCGACACAATAAACATCTAGCTCATCGATATTCTCAACGATTTTACAGATGAAAAATATACTAATATGTTTTCCAGTTGGCGCAATTGTCTTTTCTGGTTGACGTCATTTTTGACACTTTGCCAAAGGCTGATACGAAAATTCCGTGAATGTAAGACTAGAAATAATTATGTCTATGATGCGCGCAGACAAACCAAAGATATATCTCATAAAATTTTCTTTCACAATTTGATATTTTTTTAAATGCTTGTCTTCACAAAATTTGCACTAATTTCTTAAAACTTAAAATATATGAAAAAACTCCAAATTCTCGTCAAAGTTAAGATATTTCCTCTGACGCGAAAAAAAATGTCATTTTTCAACAACTTGTTAATTCACGATCAATTGAAAAAATGTATGCTTGCATACGAAGATATCTGTTTTCTCTTTTTGATACAATATTAATACACATTAATACTTTATATAGATATTTTTATACGGTGACGTCATCTACGGAAACAGAGTGAACAAATGGTAGAATAAAACCGGACTGACTGGTAGCGTTCTTTCGATGACAAGTACATCACGGTGAAAATCATGTGTAACCGAAGATGATGAGACAGAAGGATCAATCAATGTTACGAAAAGTTTTTTTTATGCTTCCTTTCTATTACGTTAGAGGATTGTTCAATGCTCGGCAATTAGTGTAAATTTTCGGCATTTTGACGTTTAATGCAAGATTATGAATTATTTGTTAAATTTTATTTTAAATTAAATTATAATATTATCCGTTATAATTTAATTTAAATTAATGTTTAACAGGTTTTTGTTCTGTTTTGTGTAGTTTAAGTTAAAAAAAAAAAACGGGAAGAATTCTTCTTTGCTTCATTTTATTGTATTTTCTCTCAACAAGTTGCAAATTGATGGCTTTCGACATTTTAACTTGATATGCGATGCACCAAGTTATATTTTTTGTGGGAATGGGTGTTTTTTTCGCAGCATAATTTTTACTTAACACGATATAACAATCACCTAAATTCAATTCGCGTTTAAGCGATGTTGTTAATAATAATGACGACAATAACGGCAGTAACACTCGCGTGACACATGTCACGAGCGTATCACGTCACCAGCCGATCGGTTGCAGTAACCAGCCGAACCAAGACTGAACCGGCATAGCGCGGCACGGCCTCCGGCCTCCGGTTAGCCTCCGGCCGGCTGCCTCCCGCTCACCTTCGTTGCGCTCGTCGAACACGATCTACAGAGCCAGAGTTGCGCAGGGCAGCAGAGTCGAAAGTGGAATTGTCGGTCGTAAATGAAAGAAGGTCGTTGGATGTAATAAATGGTCATCCGGTATATTTCAAATGGGATTTTATCTCGTTAATTATAAAAATTGTCAATTTTCTTTAAATATTATTTATTTATAAAAAATAACAAATGCGTCATGCGATACACACTAAAAATCCATAACAATATATTATATCAAAGATTTATTTGCAGTAGAATTACACACTGTAAAGCATAACAACCCCCGTAGAAAAATATGAAAATACTATTGAATTAGTGAAAAAATTATTGGAACAAATAGTGTACAATTTTGGATTCGAGTGGTATTCTAATTATTTCTAATCATTTTTTCGCGAATTCAATAGTATTTTTTATAAAGAAAATGTGCAGATGTGCAGAAATGTAACGATTCTGAATTCTTTCAATCCCGCCGATTCTATATGATGCATTATATATCTATATATAAACATCTTTTTCTTTAACCAATCAAAATCAGATCGATCTATGTTGATAGTATTTATTCTCATTAAATCCTTTATATAAAACTTGTCTTCATCAAAGCTGCAAATAATTTTTAACTGTAAATGTTAGATAGATAAAATCATTGTTATGTTTAATGCATTAAATGAAGAAACAAAGCTTAAGAACATTTAAATAAATGAAAAAAATTGTTTCAAACACATGCCAAACATCTAGCAAATTATGTTAAAATGTAATAAACAATAATTTTTAACGAAAGAAGTCGATTAAGTGTCGACCGGAGATGGTTAGCTTTTTTGTCGCAATTGCACTTGCGAATTCAATTAGACTCACCTTTCTTGCTCTTTCAAGAAAATCTTCGCCTTCCAAATTATCATCCTTTTTTATCGATGACATTTCAATTCCACTATCCTCGTGATGTTGTAAAAGATCTTGCGGAGACAACGATACATCCTCGTATTCTCTCAAATTGGAGCATGTACCTTCATTCAACATATATTCTCGGATTTTCGTGAGTTTTGTTGCAATATTTTGATCCGATTGCATCTTTTTCAAACTTTTGCTAATATAATTTTTAGATTCATCTGTTAAAAAAGAATTAATAATAAACTAATAAATATAATAATAAGTTATATATATATATATATATATATAATTATATATGCTGTATACAAGAAATCATTAAAATTAGAAAAATTAGAAAATACTGACTAAACGGAGATAAATCAAGATGGTGATGAATATCATCCATTTTTTCGTACGATTCTGCTTCTGGCACACATTCCACATTTTTGATACCTTTCACGTCGATATGTTGCCGATGATCTTGCATGGTATCTGATATCACTTTATAAGAGGCTACACCTAATCGAATATCGTGTAAAACGCGCAAAACGGTTGTCTCGGTAACTTCTTTTACAATTCTGTTTGATTTTTCCTGCAGTGCAAACAAATTATAACTTGTAATAAGAATACGTAACAATTAGCTCTGTGATTTGCAAAAACGGCAAATACTTTGAAGGTATCGTAATCAGAAAAACCATATTGTGCTGCTTAATCAAATCAAAATTAAAATAATAGACTTCAAAAGGTATGTATATATGTTGTATTTTCCCTAATTAATTGAATTATGCAACATACATTAGTTATTTTATCCATAGATTCCATTCGTGTCGTTGGTTTGACGTTGATAGTGGAAATATTTGATATTGCTTCAGCAAATTTTTGGTTTTCATTGGTCGGGGTAGAAGTAAGCGGTGCAATTGTAGTTATTAGTTTAGACTTTTCCGTGGCCCCCCTATAAATATTTGCAATTTTTCAGATTTATAAAAGATTTCGTTGCAGTATATTGAAAAGTGACTGCATTCATGGTCTGCATTGATTTTTTAATTGATATTTAAGTTTTGTTCATTTGATAATTAAAAGTAATTGAAATTCGTATATTGTATAGATACCAAGTGGAACCAGAATATGTCACCACGGGTGCAATGATAGAAAGATCTTCGCATTCCGTCGATGTTACGAAAGATTCGCTCCTCGAACGTGGAGGTGGAGTTGTTGAACATTCAGTCGCTGTTGTATAACCCTCCTGGACATTATATTCTTCTGCTGCACTTTCGCTACGAGAATTTTCGATAAGTTCCTACAAAAATAAAATAAAAGTATTTAGAAAATGTTGTTTTCGAGAGAAGAGAAAGAGAAATACCTGTAAACTAATATTAAAACCGTAGGTATAGTTAATACCTTACCTTAGAGTTAAAGTCTTTATTCGATGTTTCGACATCCTCTACGAAATACGGACGGATATGAAGTAAACTGTCGTCTAATTTTTCCGCCGTAGAAGTAATGGATTTAATTACGTCAGATTTGATTCTTGTAGCCACCGTTTCCGAAGTTATTGCAGGATGCATTTGAGCAATTACAGACACGGCTGAAGCTGTAACACTTGACGTCAATGCAGTCGTGTTAGAAGCTGTATAGATGGACGTATTTGACGGCGACATAGGAGTTATCGAGAGCAAGGACGAAGCAGAGGACGTCACAACAGTAGGAATAGACATCGGTCGAGTTTTAGCTCCAGCTTCACACAGTCTCGCATCCAATTTTTCCGCGAGACGCGTAACTTCTGCTAATTTCACCGAGATAGCTTCGACTGCTGTTAAATTACCACCGAGGATCGAAGCATCCTCAGCATCCTCAGACATTCTAGAAAAGTGCAGAATATGTATTGGTTACAAATTAATATTCTATATAAATAAATGCGTTCTTTCTAGACTAAAAACATATACTTTAAACGTACTTAGCATCTATTTGTTCCAATAAATTCCATGAGCTTTGCACGATATTATTTATACTTTATTATATTATTTCGTGTTAATGTTTATACTTTTATAGTGTCGCTATAGTTGTGTAAAATAATAATTTGAAAACATTTAAATAACTGTACAAACATCATATAATGAATTACTTTATCAAATCGCACACATGTCAATTTCAATTCATTTGTTCTTTTTTCTATTGTACATGATTTCCCTCATTACGATTAAATATAATTTAAAATAGATTGGAGAATAATTAAATTAAAAATGCGAAATATCATTAAGAAAGTGTATGTTAAATCAGTGGATTGCATAATTAATAGTTGACAGTGCATTGACAGTACGTTGCGTCTCCGCGTTACCGCATGGTCTCTGCAATTTGGGACAAAGTTCTAATTTCGTAGTTCACGTTTACTTTACGAAGCATCATAATAGATTGCTATGTTAAATTTTAAGAATCTTAAAGATAGATTTTTTATTGAAAAAATTTTTAAACAAATTTCTGAACGTTATGATCTTTTTATCGAGTGTTTGTCCTTCTGTTTTTTTACTTTGTTATGGTAAATGTGCCAAAAATAGTCTTCGTGATGCAATATCGTAGATGATTCTTCGCAAGCCGATGGTGACGCAAGCCAGTTTGCCAAAATATTATCGAAACGAGATTCGCGTTACCAGTCGAGTTTTAAGTTACGATGTGACCGTGGAACGAAGCCAATGAATATGAACCGCGAATTTTATTGTTCATGAATATGATAACAGTTTTTGACAATGTGATCATTCAGCGCTAAAAATCGCCAAAATTTGTAAAGCAATCTTAATATAAAGTGCTGGTTTAAAAGAAGATCGCTGCATGAAACCTTTTATGAAAGAATTTCGCGGATGTTTATCTATCACATGTAATCCATACGATTATGCTAAATATAAAATTGATAAAAAAAAAACGAATGAGAAATAATCTGTATTTAAGCTAAATTAAGCAAAAACGTTATGAAATTTCAGTTATCTTATTGCAACTCACATGCACCGTCTCTAGATTACAGAAGCTATCTCGACAAGAGTCGGCCACAGACTGACGCACTATTTGTTAAACACGCAGGCGTTCTACCAAGCGTACTACATCACACTCACTAGTTATTATATTTTACTTATTCTTTTTCCCTCGAATTGTAATTTATAAAAATAGACAGGAGAAGTTTTTAATATTTCTTATCGTATTTATACTTTATCATTTTATGTTTAAAACATTTTTATAGATTTACTTTTATTTATTATTTTTATTTTTTAATGATTATGCCTTATTTTTTTGCGTAATTGTGTAATGTACAAATCTTTAAGATCTTCAAATTAATAGTAGAAATTGACTAATGATGTAATTATATGTTGATGCAAAGCGATTCTTTATTATACTTACGATTGACAATAAAGGGGTTCCTTCAATCTCGTCTTAAGGAGACGACCCAACCTTACCATCCGACCAACTTCTAATAAAAGTTTCTCTCGATTATCAAGGATATCTCTTATACTTTTTTTGACGCGTGCTTTTACCGTTACATCTTCATCTTTTGCAGAATAATACAGAGCCGTCACTGTTTCCGTCAAATTTTGTAATCCGGTACAATGCTTTAAATAAATTTAAATAAATTTAAAATAAAATATAGAAGATATATATATATATATATATATATATATATATATATAGTAGATAATGATTCTTGACAAAATAATGACAAAATAATGATTCTTTTATCCTAGAATGCTAAAATAAGTTAAGCAACTTTTGAATTTACATATTGAGTTGATATTAATTTATGTTCATACATCTTCGACGTTCCTGTGAAAAACAGCACATACTCGTAGTCTGGTTAATTGTTCCTGACTAACAGAACGGAACTGTCGCCAAGCCTGTCGTAATTTCGAAAAGAGATTAGCATTACCCTCTAGAGATATTCTGCAAGATAATCTCAGTACACGTGCCCCATTCACCAATTGGCCACCATACTCGTAAGTCCCCTGTAAATATTTATCTCACTATGTGTGTGTTTATGTATACTTGACAATTCTACAGAAAATAAAACAGAACAATTCTATTATTGCTCTCATTTGATAAAAATACAATAATTTACAGTGATCATGCTTTACTTTTGCTGTTTCCTGGAAAGATTGATGCTCCTCTTTTTGCGATTGTATTTCCTTTACGTTACATCCAACTTCCATGTGATTTTGAAGTAAAACATTGAATAAATCATTTAACCATTTAACAGCCTGAAAGGTGCAATCGATTTTTACGCACAGATTCATTCTACATGTTCTTTCGCACGTTAAAACATTTCCACAATTATATTATTATCTGTTATATCATATTGTTAGTCCATACTTACTTGTTCGGCATCGTTCTCATACGTATATATCAAAATTATCTGTTTCAGTGACAGCTTCTGTAATTCCACGCTGTCATTAAATATATTCTTTCTGGCATTTGTTGCATCCAGTATATCTTTTACATTGACAATATCTTCGTCGTAATTAACATGAACTTCTCGACCAAGTGCATCCTTCACGGGCATAGAGAGAATGTCTGACAATTTTTCACCTTCTTTTACAAGCTCGCGTTCTAAACTATCTAAAAAATTTATTCAAACATGAAACTGAACAAATATTAATATCTAGCGAGTCATTTTTACCTAAAATTGTTTGACTTTTTTCCAAAGTTAAGAGCTTAATGCTCGCTTGAGAAAAGTTGTAATTTCTATTGCCCATGACCAACTGCTCGAATACTTCACTCGTCCTATCGAAGTACTGTAAGCAATAATAAACAGCGGAAAACTATGACTATCCTTAACTGCTTAACTAACTCGCAGACGATTGACAAAAAAAATTAGCTAATTTTTACCTCAGAAACAAGTCTAAAGAATCTTTGCGAAGTGATTAATACATTTCTACGTCTTTCAAGCCGCGAAGCGAAACTACGACAAACAAAATCCATGAAATCTCTTTGAGATTTTAAATCTTCTGGTAGTCTATTTTTAGGTAGACCATCGATTTTATGAAGCAGCTCTGCGTATCGCCCATAGGTCTCCTGATATAAACACGCATTAGATTCCATATGTAATATTCTTTTAAAACAAAATAAAAATTTTTATAAAGCTTTACTACATCGTGTTTACCCGACATTGAAGCTCAATTTTTTCGTGCTGCCTTCGGAATTCCTCGGACGAAAAAACATCGAAGCCAACCTGACAGCAGGAGTTTAGCATTGTGTCAGCTGGACCTAAGATCCAGTCAGTAACGCTCGACACACCTTGCTCAAGATCTTCGATTACTCTGGCAGTATCCAAATTACGTTCCATCTCTGTCCACGAATTTTCAATGTCCATCTGCAAACAACGATAAACATATACAACAATGTATTAACTAAATATAAAATAAATTTAATTACGCCAGTCGCGTAAATGTAATTAAATACCTGCTTTAGTTCGATAGAGTCGAGTAACTTATGAATTCCTTTAATGGTATCCAAAATATCCTTAGAGGATTCCCTACTCATAGAACTCACTAGATTCCTACCTAAATGGAAACTTATTTTAACTTATCATTACTTTTATACATATAAGAGATATCATTGCTTAAAGTAAATTATTAAATTTTTATTAACATATCAGAGTTACAAGCTACACACAACTTTTTCTATTTCTTAATATAATATAATATAAATTTAATTAATCATGAGAAATTTAATAAATAAAAATATACAGACCTGATTGAAGTATATAACGTGCCGTTGATAACAATTCTGTGCTCATCTCCCAATGAGATTCTATATCATCGGATTGCATCATTCGAATACCATCAAGAGTATTTAATCTTTGATGTAAATTTGTCATCTTTGATACAAGATCTAACGCATCTCTCGAATAATCTTCCATTTTCTACAAAATAATAAATATCAAGCTGTTAAGAAATTAATTCATATTATTTACATTTAATAAGGTTTAATCTGTACATATGATGAAAAGTATATCTAATTTACCATACGTTTCTTAATCCATTCGATGTGATTGTATGCCTTGTTACCTGCTAATTCGTACGGTAATTGCGAAAAATCGATGTAAACATGCAGCCTTGTTAGAGTAACGTATATTGCCTAAAACAAAAATTTACAGAAATAAAAAATCCAAGTTATTATACGCACTTAGGTATATAATAATCTGTACTGAAGCATAAATTTGTAATTATATATTTTTATTAAATTAATTTTCTCACTTCGCCTTCTTTGTGCGACTTGGTACAACTATCGACACGTTTATCCCAAAAACCATCAGGCCGTATCACGATCACAGAAATGATTTTAGATCCTATAAGATTCGTAGAAAGTCTAATACAAGATCTAGTTATGCGCCATGCACTGTGTCGCGCGTCTACAATTAGGACCAATCCGTTTTCCTTTGTTTCCTCACTGTATAATTAATCACCAATAGATATTTCGTCACTATATTATATGTATAAATTTAATGATATATATTTTCTTAAATATAAGTATATAGTTAATGAGATATATCATGAGATGTTCCATACCTGAAAATTGATATAAAATATAAAATGAGAGACTCTAATTTTGACTTTATTGTTGAATCAAATTCCGGTGGTACATTAATTATTATTAAAGGTCGTCCGTAGTGATCACGACCGCCTGGGACATATACGAGCTTTGATTCTAAATCCTTCAGAATATCTGCTGCTTTCAAGTTTTTTAAAGGCATCTTTATAGCTGCTTGTATTAAAGAAAATTGTCTTAGACAGTTTCAAATAACAAAATAAAATCATTTAACGCATATTTTTTATTCTTAATGTTTTATTCATCGACGTTTTACAATTATAAGTCTATATATATATACCTATATATATAAAACGTACGGTACTCACCAGTTTAATTAACAAACGCTGAATCGTATCGGAAATTTCGAAAACACAAAAGTATTATAAAGAAATATTATACAGGCGTAGCACACAGTATAATATATACTTGGAATGCATCGCGGAAATGTGTATCAGCGAGCAGCTGTTTCAACTTCAGACGTTATACCTGTATAGCCACGTGAGCGATAAGCAAATTGTCGTACCTCGTTGATTCGAGTCTGTCGCACGTGTTCCGCGTTAGTGACAGAAGAAAAATTTTCACATATATGTAGACGAATACACGTGTATTTATATAAAATGTGCACGAGTACAATGCACGATAAATGCAGCACGAAGCTGCAGCTGCGACGGAGGCTGCAGGAAAACCGAAAGCCATCTCTGGTCCATTCAGATACAACGGTACTTTGGCACCGATTAACCGTGTGTTCCCCTTCCTTTATGCATATGGCTCTTCTCTTCCTTTCATCTCCTTGTCTCTCTGAAACTCCATTTTTTCTACTTTTTAGCTTTCATGAGCAGAAATATGCAGAAATATTTTAGATAAGAAATAACGGAGATTGCAAATATAACACAAAAGTATGTCATAGACGTTACGCGATTTTTGTGGATGAGCGCACGTAGGATTGATATAGATATCTTAAATCACTTTATAATCGCATGCAAATTTAAAATGTTAAAACCTGCATTTTCGTGTCTTTAACGTTCGCCATTTTATATAAAACATTTTCTGAAATTCAATTTTGATTTTCTTGATTATCATGAGGAATGTTCAAGATTTAATTTGAGCTTTGGTTCATCTCAATACGATGATTTTTCATAAAGTTATACCTTACCGCTATTGGAAGATATAAAAAATTTGTGTGGATATTCAGTAGCCCAAATTTTTTGCAGGTGAATGTAGAGTATAATTATTTATATTTATATACATGCATGTGCAGTATATAATAACTACAATTTAGCTATAAAAATTGTCGAATAAATTATTTTCAATAACACGAATGCAAATTTTAACGATTTGCCAATATTTAATGTAATAATACATTAAACAAAATACAACAATGAAGAAAACGTTTAATAATAATCAGACAATATATTTTTTTTAGTTATTGCAAAGATATATATCGATAGAATTAGTATACTCAGAGTAGAAACACCAGTGAGACAAAGATAGAGTCGAGTAAAGCTGAAGAGATTTGGCGTCGCTACAATCGTCGACCACGGGAAAGTTTGCCAGTGCTCCATCGAACCTCGCGCTATATCAAGCATTTTGCTGTCTTTCTCTCACTCTCTTTAGTCATCTCTTTCCTTTTCTCCTTCTGTTTCTCTTTTCTCTCTCTCTCTCTCTCTCTCTCTCTCTCTCTCTCTCTCTCTTCTTACTCTTCTTTCACCCAAGTTGAACATCATCAAAGATTGTCAGCATCATTTTGCTCTTTGATCATACTCTTCAAAAAGTACTATAAATGTGATGTGACTTCTGACATTTTGGTATGTGGAAACGATCAGAAAACTGACCAGAAACGGAGTAATCGTCGAGCCAGGCTCGACAAGGAGGAGGAAGAGGAAACACGATAATGGGCAACGCCACAACGAAAGATTATTCAAGGAGCATCTCCGTTGGCACCAGCTCGAAGAAAACGCGTTGGGATGGTCCAGGTAAATTAATCTATTGTTATTTTATCTCTCTAATGTTATAATTTATATAATTTTAAAAATGATAAACGTTTTGATTACCGAGAGATATCATTTTTGCTCATTGTCTTAAATATAAATTATCGAATCTTTTTTATATTGCATTAATTAATTACGTATAATTGTAATTAAGATTTAATGGCAAATATATTAATGGTAAATTATTTTTTAATATATTGTACAATTTGTAGTTTTAATGATATAACTACATTATTACAACTGTACTGTATTTGTGGTTGAGATTTAATTATTTATTATATATAAATGCGCAATTGATATCTATTTTTCTTTATTACTAACAATAAGAAGATAAATTCATATGATTCATCTTCTTAGTAATGCAGATTTAAAATTTGAAAGATTATTGTTAAATATCATTAAACCATATCTAGGTATAGTTTCGACAGCGAAATAGCATCTAAAATTAGACAGCTACTAACTTTAGTATAGAAAATTTATTTATTTAGATTGCTTTTTAATGTACTTTCGTTTGTGAAATTAATAGTTATCATATAATACGTACTATATAGTATATGACAACTATTTTTAAATTAATGCACAATCAATGAATATTATACGAAATCGGAGTATCTTAAATACCCAATTTGCGGATGGTGCGCCGGTTCAGTACTCTACTGTACTGCCAAACGCGACGCGTTTTATTTTGGGAGCGATACTTACGTACCGATGTTGAAAATCTCATCTATTCTATATACATACTTACTATGAGTATATAGTTCTAACAAGAATACATTCTTAACGTTTACTTTATTAATATTATGCCGCTCTTTTTGTTTCCAAATAAAAGAGAACGTTAACAAATGCATAATTATTACAAAATGGAATAATTATAAGTTATTATGAAAACGTAAAAGAAAGACTAAAGAAAATTTGGTTCAGGTCTTCCGGCCCCACCAGGCAGACCTATCTTAATATCGGGAACGAATGAAACACAGCCGGATGTTGTGGCAATACGATGGGAGAGATCACCAAGTAACGGTGGATCGGCGATTATCGGATACTTGGTCGAGCATCGACGATTGGGTTCTCCTCATTGGGTACGAAGCACTTCCGGTCTTTGTGCCTTTCCAGAGCTGACTCTAAGCGGTCTTGAGCCAGGATGGCGTTACCAATTTCGAGTCAGAGCGCAAAATGCACTCGGACTTTCGCAGCCAAGCGATGTCTCCGAACCACTTACGGTTACCTTACAAAAGGCGTCGTCTGGCGCCTGCGCTCCTCATTTCGATTTAGAGCTTAAAGATACAGTTGCACTCGAGAATGAACAGGTACGTAAAATGTGCAATATATTGCACATCATATCGTATAAAATTTAAACGCGTTTGTAATTTTTTTCAATATAGGCTGAATTCGTTATACAATTCTCTGGTACACCATTGCCAAAAATCTCGTGGTTTAAAGACGGCTTCGAGATCTTTAGTAGTAGACGCACCAGAATTGTTACGGACAATGGAAAGAGTATTCTCTTGATACATCAAACCGCGCTTAACGACGAGGGTGAAATTAAATGTACTGCCACCAACCGAGCAGGTCATGTCGCTACCAGAGCCAAATTAATTCTCGAAGGTAAATTAATTAAAAAATATATAAAAAATACACAAACATGACTTTTTACAGCATTGATAAACCATTGAATTATATCTGTTTAGCACCTCCGCGGATACGATTGCCACGTCAATATGAGGATGGTTTGCTTTTCGAGCAAGACGAGACTATTAGACTGAAAGTATCCTTAGCAGGTAGGCCAATGCCTGTTGTCACCTGGTATCACGATGGAGAGCTAATATCTAAAGATGTTAGACACATATTTGAGGCGATGGATGGTGAATCGATTCTGAAAATACCAGATGCAAAACGGAGTGATCGAGGAGAATACATTGTCAAAGTTACAAACAAATTGGGCGAAGATACGGCGTCTTTTCTGGTCACCGTGACAGGTGAGATAACGTTACATTACACGTTAATTTAGACACTAGCCTTTTAAACTTTATGTGTGTCATAAGTTTGACAATTTATTACTTTTTCGAATTCAATCAACAGATCGACCCGCTGCTCCTGGCAAAATAGCTGTTGCAATGACATTAGGTAGATCGGTGACGTTGTCGTGGAAGGAACCAGAAGATGATGGCGGATGTAAAATCGGAACTTATATTGTCGAATACTATAGAGTATGTAACGTCGCGAAACTTTATTTTTATCGGTATGAATTTTCAAAAAAACTTGACAACGGTTGTTTTAGATCGGCTGGGAGGTATGGCTTAAAGCAACTACGAGCAGGCGCACTACTGCAACGTTAACAGAATTGATCGAAGGTTCCGAATACAAATTTCGCGTGAAGGCTGAGAATCCTTACGGAGTCAGCGATCCAAGTGAGGAAAGCGATGTTATCTTTGTTCCAGACATTAAACGCAGGTAATTTATTATTATTATTATTATTATTATTATTATTATTAACAAATATTTAACTTTAGCATATACATTCGTTCGCGCAACAATAAATTTATAATTTTATGTCGCAGAATCGTAACTCCGTCTTTGAATGAAAAGTCACAAAGTCATCGAGAGATCAGCAGATCTCGTGGTGATAAACGAGAGGTGAGTTTCACTATGCCAGCACAAAGAACTAGAAGTTTAACAAGGGAAGAAGCTAAAACACAAGACAATGAAAGTAATGATCGCTTTGGATATGACGAACGATCAGCTTCAGTACAACGGCTCGCAACTTCTACATTGGACAAACCGTCCAGAGCTGACAGTAGAGTGACATTTGCACTGGATACTTTGAAAAATGAACAAATGCCTCCAATTGCCCCAGCCAGATCAAAAGAGCACAATTCCACGAAGCAACAAGTTTCTCTTGGAAATCATACAAATCGATCAAATATTGCGGCAAATGCGACAATAGACAAAGTAAGAAAAAAATCAAGTATACAAGCTATTATAATTAAATTCTAGATTAGAAGAAAGAAAATACTATAATAATATATATAATATATTATTTTCTGTAGCAAGATATTATTATAAAGGATGAAAGAACAATGACATCGAAACCAACATCAACTATGTCAGTCTCTTCTTCAGTTATCAAAGAAGATACCACATTACATTTTATAACAAAAGAAAAGAGCATCTCTCCACTCTGTTTGCCAAGAATCCAAAAGCAGCAAAAAGAGGAAAGTTATATTACAACAAGTCATCATTTAACACCATCGTTGAATTCAATTCCAGAAAAACAGACCGCCATCGTCGAATCCATGCTATTTCCGCCAGATAGATTTCCGCAATCGCAAAGAATACTGCAAGAGGATGACGAGAACGCATTGCATGGTAGCTCGGAGTTCATGCTCGTTTTATATCCAGAAGATGAAACACGAGAGGAATATGTAATCGACATGAAGAACTCTACAGAAATTCAAATTAGAAACAACATAAGTAAGTACGAATAAAAACTTTTGATTTAAATATTTTTAAGCAGTAAGAATTAATTGTGCGTGCAGTATGTGTATGTATAACTATAAAATTTATAATTATTGTTTCAGGTGGCAGATCGAATATGATCGTGTTGACAGAAGACGAGAACGATCTCGTACCACCGCCGATGTCGTTATCTCTTCCAGAATTATTTAGCACGCAGCATCAAGTGATGGAAATAATGCGAGAAGCGGTTAGCTCTACCGAGCTTCTTCACGAACGAGCTATGGAACGTTTCTATCGCGCAGTTGCTGCTGAAGAGGCATCCGAAATTGCCAAACAAAAGATGCAATTTGAGAGACAAACTAAACTGACGCCATTAGATGCCGAATCTGTTCAAAGGCCCTCGCTTCGTAGACGTCTATCCAATTCCGGTACCACTACGCAAAATTTAATCGCTTCCTGGCAGGCCAAGAAAAATCGTCGAAGATCAAGCGAAGGACAAACTGATACAACATCGAAAACATTAAATCTTCTCTCGCCATCAGCTTTGTTATCAGATGTTGAAGCTAGATCAGATCCAAATCTTCCCTCTGAAATGATAATAGTAGATCCCTGGGAAAGCAGCAACAAAGTCGAATCTGTGGAACGTCTGCGTAGATGGCACGAAGCGAATGTACCTTTATTAGAAGAAATGCAACGAGAGAAATCGATACAAATGAATAATGAAAAGGAAGCAATAATTCCATCATCCATCACTGTGAATAAAGTAGAATCTCAACCGTTGACTCAAGTGAAAGCAAAGGAAAGAGAAAAAGAGGAGAATAATAGCATTGAGACTTCCGAAGAATCGTCAGAAGAGATCAGTAGTGCAGACAGCGAGGATTTGAAATTATTAAAATCAAGGATCTTAGCAAGACAAATTATCGATGAAGAAGATACTTATCATCCTAGGGGAAGACCAATCCCACACGTCGAAACAGAATTGCCACAGATTCCGTACGACAAATTATCAACGTTTGAGATTTCGTCTCTTCCATCCAGCAGAACGGTTACTTCAGTCTCACCCAATAATGTGATGCCTAAGTCAATTCTAAAAAAACCCAAAGAAGAAATGATTCTTCAAGACAATTTTGGCAGATCGATTCCTCCGGAGAAACCAATCAGAAAGACATTGCAATCGTATCAACCAGAAAATATAGAAAAGATAAATATAGATACCAACGACAGAATTTCGAATCTGTCTAGTGTGTCCGAGGCTCTAAAGGCACCTACGATGTCGGAATCAGATACAGATAGTATTATATCTGCGGCAGAAGCAGCCAAAAATCGAAGAATGCAATCAAAATGGCGATCCATATCACCTGAAGAAGAGGCAGCCGAAATAGAAGCTAGAATGGCTGTTGTAAATCAATACACTGAGATAGTTCGGGAACACGCGAGTCATTCACGACACAGTAGCGCAGCTAGCTCTCGAAGATCCTCCATTTCCGAAGATCAAGATCAAAAGTATCGAGTGCAAGAAAAACTTGCATCAAAATTAACAGACAAACAAGAGCAGGATGAGAAATTGAAATTAAAAATTAAAAGTAAGAACGAAGTCAATAGACAAAAGAAAAATAATCAAACGCCAAAAAAGGAGAAAGGAGAAAGTACTGATTTTAGAGGTACTACTCCAGCAAGAGATACGATGACTGCGAAGCGCAGAAGTAGGCCAAACTCCAGGGATCAATCTCCAGCTGCGAGGAGAAATGAAAGAATAGGAGGTACTTGTTCGAGATCATCTTCAAAGACCAGGAATCGCACACCTTCTCAGGAAAGAAATAGTCAATCTTTAGTAAAAAATGATTTAATAAATGAGCAAGGCCCTCGTAGATCTAAAGCATCTTCTAGACCTTCCTCACGCTCCTCATCGAGATCAAGCTCTAGGGAAAGATTTGGGACAACAGTACCAGTAGAATCAAAGGTTGAAAAATTGCAGAAAGCACTCGAGAGTAGTAAGTATCGAGCAATAAGAAAAGAAATCGAAGTAACCGGAGAAAGCGTTTTTGATCGAACAAACGGAAAGTTAGCTCTAGAAGCTAAAAAAACAGTCAGATCAACGGTGAGCTATATAACCGATCTGACATTGCTGATAGCTGCGATGTATATTTATTTCTTTAAGAAAGAAACCTTGGCGGTCCCGTTTATCGTGCTTCTTCTATATCGAAGGGTACAGGAAGAAATACACAAATGGATGCCACGTCGTTGGAGGCGATCTATCAAGAAACACTAATTGATCGATATAACTGGATATCACACACGCACACAGATATATATATATATGTATATATATGTATATATTATACACATTTCATTTGTCAGTTAAAATTCTCTAAATAATTGTTAAAGAATATAATTTATTATATACTAAAATGAAATTAATAGTATTATATATATATATATATATTAAATTGCAATTTATTATTTATAGTATTCTCATATATAATTTAATTGAAACTTGTTACTGTTATCTGTTTTACTGTTTTATTTATAATAAATGTTAATTCTTTACTCCCAATAAATTATATGTTTCCATTAAATTAAAAGATGCATTATTATTAGGTGTATGCAAAAGTTTTAGTCTTTTTTCGCACGTTTTCGCTTTAAACCATATTATATGTAATAATATTTAGTCAAAATATTTGTCCTTATTTTCTGTGATTTTCTGCCGTTTCTCAAATAAATTTCGGATTCTTTTAGGAAAAAAATATGTTTGTATCTTGTTGTTAGTTACATCTTGAATGCGCAATTATCGGAAAAAATGATTCGAAGGCGCAAAGTCTAATGAATGCAGTGCAGCGTGCAGAAAAACTCTTCAGTCTAAATTAAAAATATGGTTTGCTGGATATGAAAAGTAACATGCAGTCTTATCATGTAGCAAAATTAAAACTTTCCGATTTATTTGTTCAGTAAATGGTCTTTTCTGATTTTTTTAAGTTCTTTAAAAACGGAAATTTATTTAATTATATCAAAATACCATTTAAATAATTATATGAGAACGTTGAAAAAAAAGACTAAAACTTTTGCATACATTTTGCATACACCTAATACATACTTCACGTTACATTAATATGTTGTGTGTATGTGTGTGTATTTGTGTGTATAATTACTGATGTTATTACATGTTATATTCTACTAATTTCTAATTGTCTACGTTTTATACTTATCTAAATACACCCAATAGTGATTTCCGCATATGTATCTTTCATACAAAATCTCCGCAATATGAGTAATGTTTTTTTACACATTCTGTTAGATTTAATTAATTCAATTAATTATTTGATCACAGTTTTTAAGTATTTACATATCAGACATAAAAGCAAAAATAAAAAAATTCATGAAAATAAGTGTTATCAATGTTACTGGCAGTTACATCAGCGAAAGCTAGATAATGTGGAAAGAGCGTACGGAGATGTGCTCATACGGCGCATGTGCTTCTTTCGTTAAAACGACGAAGCTGAGAGCGCGGCGTCGAGACGATTTTAGAACGGAGCAGGGCCTCCTACCGTCAGACGTCGTAGCATAGGGTGTGCTGTATTAATATAGGGTCAAGACAGGAACAAGTTGGTGACGGTGGTGGCGGAAGACGGTGCAGGTCTTCTCGAGCAATACACACGTACATCTCGGACCTCCGCAAGTAATGTACGGAAAGATCGTTCAACGTAACATCTAACGAGATGACCTTAACAGGTAAGATGCACGATTGAATTGCCATAACGTGTTTGCCGGTATAGCCGGTATAGCCGGCAATGATGAATCAAGACTGCAATGTGTTGATTAATGTAGCCGGTTTATCAACAACATGACGAATTATTACCTTGTATTAGTGTCTTACGTACATGTCTGCAATAAAAAAAATAATGTGTTAATTGTGTAGCTATACGATATATAAATATGTATATTCAATGGGGGAAGGGAGAAGATGCGCGTGAATCGTAAGGTGCTAGCCATGTATAGAGAATACATAAAATACAAATAGCAAATGATGACTTACAATTAGTTTAAGAATTCTTTAAAAAGAAGTTAATGTAAAACAATAATAAAAAATTGCAGAACTAGTGCGCACAATATTTCTTATTAAAAATAACGAAATTTATATATTATATTTTATATATATATATATATATATATATATATATATTCTTGTACACTTGTACATAAGAATTTTTTAATTATCGAATGACATTGCTTCAATTTTACCTTTAATAGCTGCCAATTTTACAGATTCTACCTTATGTATACAAAGTATACATATCACGGCTGATGTAAAATGCTTTTACAATTAATATAAAACACATACATATTAAATGAAATATGCGTGCAGCAGGTTTCATAAAACGTGCTTAATAAATTTATAATTTCTATCTCACAAAATTAAATCAATATAAAAATCAACGGTGTTGTTGATCAAAATTTTTATTAGCAAAACATAAAGCTTTTTATTTATATTAACGTTGCAGTCTGCGTGGTCAGTGTGCGTGAGTGCATTTAATCAAAATAAAGCATACTACGCTGTAAAATTTGCAAGAAGAAGCAACTTTTGAAGGAAAATATGATCTTTGAGATTTTGATAAACAAGCTTTACAGTTTATTTTCTTAAATGGTTTTTGCTTTATAACGTTATCACGTTTTTGTTGTATAATTGTCTATATTTTGCTATTATTTTGCGTACATATTACCACCATCGTATTCGTATAACCATTTTGCAAAGCACGTGAGTCTCGAAATAGCAGGTAGCTTTTCAACAGAACGTTCTCTCCCCGTCATCGCGTATCAATAAAGAATATTTTTCAATAAGATTTCTTTAATAATGAACATTTTTATATTCTAAAAATGAAAAATGCAAAAGAATGAGCACAAAAGCATTAATTTACATGCAATATATAAATATATTCAGATACGTTGAAAACTAAAGGATCACCAGAATGGATCGAAGAAGATCAGATCGTATCAGTTCAAGGACATGTAGACGAAGATATTATCATCGAACTGAAATTAGCTCTATCCGAAAATTACGATGACTTACAATTCGAACTGTAAGTATATAACAATATTATACGATACTTTGAAGAATAAAATGTTAACAGCTTTTTTTGTATGTGTAATATTTTTAACGAAAACGTTGTACTGCTGTATTGGAATATTTTAATATGGAAACAATGTTCCATTTTCACATTATCATTCATTCTCATACATTGGCCTTAATTTTACATAGAACCTTGGGACGTGCCAAGGATCAAATGCGAGTTATTTTGAGCTGTCGCGCACTTAATTTCAGAGAACCGAATTACACTTGCCGCATGTAGCTTCACTCAATATTCCTACATGGATCATCACTTTGCCAATGCTAGGAATGTAAGCAACATATCCATACTTTCAATCTTTGTTTAAACATCAATAACTATTGAAGAAAGTAACTAATATGATATTATATTAATTTTTTTTCATTTAAGAGGAAGTAACATTTCCCTATTTAAGCTATTTTGAAAATATATTTTCAAAACGCACTGCAGATATGACTTATCTAACGCTTTAAATTTACATCTTGAATAAAATCAACAATTAAATATTATAATAACGATTATTATTATCAGTTATATTTCAATGTTTTTTTTTTTGTTTGAAGAAAATCAAATCGTATCAAGGAAAAAAGAGAGAGATTTAGACTGCGAAATCATTACATTCGTTACTTCTTATTCTAATATATTTATTACGGATTCCGTGAAAACATTCGTGGAAGTAAAATATTATACTTCAGACACATATTCGAGATTGTCCACGGTGCATTTACGCAATAATTTCGTAATATGCGCATCCTGATGTTCATCGAATTCATAATGCGAAACCATGTATTTGCGATTATATTCTGCATATTCTTTGGTTCAGAATATTTTCATCGTAATAACGTTGTAGACACAATATCACAATACAAATAAATTTGAAAAATTTTAATTTGTCTGCGACGTTGCAGACAAATCGCATATCCCTACTCGTGCAAATATTACTATACCGTTATGTTAATTTCGACCGCGCTCAAAATTTTCACGAAAATATGACAGAGGCCCGATCCAGCTATTCCTCGGTTGACTCTTGCTAGCTTCTACATGAGATAGTCTGTTGCTTAAAGTTCCTCGAAACTATCTCAACGAACCCGTTGATGGAGGTGGAAAATTGGGAGGGAACAGTTTGACGTTGGCGTCTCGCTATCAGTCTGACGCTGAGAGAGCGTCGCGACGACCGACGAATCCCTGAGAAAGGGATTTTAAATTATTCGATTTGAGTGCATCGGTACACGTCTCTTACTCATCATCGTTAAAAAGGTGGTTGTGGATTCAATTAAATCCAAACTGTTGAGACTCTTGGAATTTGAAGCTTGATCAATTGTCATTTCCTTGTGTATTTCTTTCGAACAATTATAAATATAATTAAATAGGAATAATTGAGTTAAATCAATCATCCATCAAAAATATAAGAGGAATCGCTTCCCTGTCGCAGATTCTTTGGATAAAGTCTTTTCAGAGGCTTGAGACTTCATAGTTATAATAAATTTTTAAAATAAAAATAATGAAAAGGAAGAACGAATAAAAGTCAAAAAGATTACATTAATTATTGTAAGAAAAGACAAATTATCACACAATTTGAAGATATAAAATTAAATCATGCGTTGATGTTCTCGATAGATTTGAGACGTGTACCGATGACTCAATAAAACGAATTTGTAGAGCGCCACTACGCTGTCAGAATTCGATCGACCAATGTGTATCCCGCTAATTTTGTCGCTCACGCGGTGCTCGCAGTATCATGAACAAAGATTATACGCGACAGATCAGTACCTCGGAAACTGAAGTATATGGCAAATCATTGTTGATCATATTCTCAAAACATTTCTGGATATATGTGAAAAGTAAGGAGATAAAGTGGTATTGAAGAATCTCTAAAGATAGATCTCGAGGCGAAATGTTGTGTGTTTGTAAAAGAGTGAGCAATTTATGGCAATTACCTCATCGATGGTGCATTCTGACATAAGTCAAGAATTTCCTTCTTTTATTTTTTGAAATTTTTATCATGGGAAGTGATTGCTGTAAATGCACTAACGGTAAAAAGAATGTTATTACTGGGTCCTCCTCCGATGGATCAGAATACCGGTAAGAGAATAAAAAAGTTCTTGATTTAACATTAATTTCTACACACAACAATTACAGTCTCTCAAAGCTATATAATATTATATTTGATAGTATTTTTAAATGCTAATTTTATATATCAACTATGTTTATCGAATAATCTATATATACACATATATATTATATTACATTGTGAAACTAGAAAAATGTATATAAAATCACATGAAAATTTAGTGACCATTTATTAGAGTACCAAGATCCTGCTAATTTAAACACTGTATACGGTCTGGTTATATATGTATATATATATATATATATATATATATATATATATTTTTTCCAATTCCACAAACTGCGTTACTTTCAATTTCAACGCAGTTCTAATTGAACAAGTAATATAGTAATATCACAGTCTTAAATCGACAATCAATTTAATAATACTGATCTTTATATATATATGTAGAAATATCTCTTAAGATTCTTTCCTCACCCCAACGCGACGCGAGAATACTGTAAAGAAATTTTGTTGCGATATTAAATATTTAAATATTATATGTATAAGATCATATGCGTTTAATATCTAAAGTGAACAGAAGAAATTAAATTATATTGAAGAGCGATGTGCCGCGTCATATCACGTCAGTTCTCACATTAGAAGCATGCAATTGTATCAAGTTGCATGCTTCATATATTGATATGTGATATTTTTAGGCTTATTCGACGTTCTCACTTTAAACAATAACGATAATTTGTTTAAGAAAAGAAAATTAAAGCTAGATGCTCGTTAGACGTAAACGACTTTTTTCTTAGTTCTAAACGAGCACGTCACACTATGAAAAAGGTGACAAAAATAGGACAGTAGAGCAATGCCAAGACTCTATAGATCATTCTGTTGGCCAAAATATGCCAGGCCAATGTAATATATTTTTACGTAGATGTAAAAACACATGTGTGTGTATGGAGCAAAAACGCAGCAAAATAATAGACATTTTGGACAAATAAAAACTTTTTCTTTTTTATTTATTAAATCTATTCTAAAATTTAAACGATCACATTTACAGTAATAAATGAATATTATACGATTTATGTGCCAAATTTGCAGAATACGAGACGGATTACCAATTTCATCGGATCGTTATCAATTATCGATGCGAGGCAATATCGTTCAATTGGCCTTGAAGCAATCGCGCAAGAATGATACGGGTTACTATTCTCTCGTAGCCACGAGAGTCGGACAAGAAAATGATAAAGGAGCTTTAAAGAAAATCCATTTGAGCATCAGCGAATCAAATTATGAAGAAGGTGATCCTCCTGTCTTCTTGAGAAGATTGAGCGATCTTGCAGTAAAGGTCGGCACTCGAACCAGATTTCTCGTAGAAATTCGAAGTTCAACCACTTTGAAGGTACTATTTAGAACGTATAGCAATAACTTTAGTGCAAGAAATACTAACAGAGGACAATCTGTGTGTGTTTGCACATATATTAGAATATTAATTTAATTAAATAGTCCGTGTATTAACAAGAGAAGAATATTCTACTTGGCCCGACATACACACCCGATGTCCATATAACATGACGTAAGAGACGTCCTGGCTTAACATATTGCTACGCTCGCGCTCACTATTGCTATAGTAGTATTGCTATAGTATATAGAGCGCGAGCGTAGGAATATAAATGGATAATATATAGTATCAATTATTACGATCAACCCGGAAGGTAGACGACTGATGGTGTTAGCAGTGACTTATTGTCAGACATTTCTCTTCCTCCCAGTAGCAGACGGAACGGGAAAGGCAAACTAAGAACTGGGTACCGGGAGGTCCATGACCTGAACTCGCGACGAAAGACGATGAAGAGTAAAGGAAGCTGGACGCTTACGCGTTCTTGTGCGTCGTATTAATACTATTATTACGCATGCCCGCAAACTATGCCAGAAGATATATAGTCCGAAATTTCTTCGCATGCCTCTTCCGCTACGCGCATAAAATAGCCGAATATATTAGCAGCGTACTCTGCGTATTATAGCAAATCATTTAATATAATATATTACAATAAAATGATGTCAAAAAACTCATTGAACGACAATTTTTTTTATATTACAGTTAAATTAGATTCACTAATTACAGATAATTTGGTATAAAGATGACTTGCCTATTCACTGCGACGGACCTAGGTTCTCTCTCGTTCACGAAGGAAATTTTCATTGTGTTGATGTCGCCCCAGTCACAATTGAGGATCAAGGATGCTGGACCTGCATGGCGGAGAATCATTGCGGAAGATCCTCGTGTACATCTACTCTCACCGTCATTGGTAATCTGCTGCATTTTGTTTGCTCCATTTATTATTCGACGTTTTTATAATTTCGCTCGCTTTGAATTGATTGCAAGTTTTGATTGATCTTTAGTTCCCAAGGCTTACAAAAAGCCAGAATTTGTTGAAGAACTTCGCGCGCTGCTCACAGAAACAGGTACCGTGTCGTTGGAATGCAAAGTAATCGGTGTACCTACACCGGTATTAAGGTGGTTTAAAGACAACAAAGAAATCAAAGCTGGCGATGTTTTTGCTTTGACTGCTAATCCCGATGATCCAACATCTCTCGGTGTTTATACCTGCGAGGCGGTCAATTGTATGGGAACGGCCTATTCCTCCTCAAAAGTAAATACGCTATTACGATTGCGCAATAACAATTGTGTAACGATCCTATATTTTCCAACATCAATTTCATACGTAACGTAGACACGTTATTTTATTTGATCGTTATTTTATCCCAGGTTCACGTAGTTGGAAGAGGAAGTCGAGAAGATTCATTGAAACCGGCAGATGATTTTGCACCATCTGGACCACTTCCGATATTTAAACAGATACTTGAAGACGAATGTTGTCGAATCGGAGATACTATCGTACTGTCTTGTCGCGGTAAATTAATTCTTTCTGTTTTTATTTTATGCTTATTGTTACGTCCGACGTGTATAAAAAGTGTACGAAGTAATAATATACTTTATTCTATTATATAAATTATTAAATTCACAATTACGATGTGGTAGAACAAGCCACGCGCGCGACAGCCAGTAGCGCGCACGCGCATACCGGATCACGCAGCAGCATGCGTGATCGCTACCCATCGAACTACTGCGGATCCGGCATGCGTCTACGCGCTACTGGCTGTCGCGTGCGCGCCTCGAATGCGCGGCTAATTGTTCTACCACATCGAATTAATTGTGAATTTAATAATTCATATAACAGAATAAAATATATTATTATTTTGTACACTTTTTATACACGCCGGACGTAACACTTATTATAATGGAATATTAACAATAATAGTTCAAGTACCACCCTGGCCAAGAGCGATCACCTGGTACAACAAGGAAGGCCGCGTTGAGCCCAGCGAAAAATATCACGTAATAGAAGATGGTATTGGAGGATATTCAATCGAAGTAAAACAAGTAGAAGCTATGGACGAGGGTGAATGGAAATGCGTTGCTACCAGTGAAAATAATATGAAGCAATTTACGAGCTGCTATGTAGCAATGTCTAGTACGTATTATAATTAAAGACAAAACTAATTTATAAAAAAAACGTACAATTATCCTATCAACGTTTTTATCTTACTTTCTACAAGTTCCAAGGAACTATAGAAAACCGCGCTTCATGGAGAATCTGAAAGCAGTCTTGACGGAAGAAGGTCTTGTCTCGTTCGAATGCAAAGTCGTAGGTTTCCCAACGCCATTGCTGAGATGGTTTAAAGACGGTCAAGAACTTAAACCAGGGGACGTTTATCAATTAACCGGAACTAATTCATTAGGTACATATCCGCTAAATTTATTATATATTCATTTTCTCTCTCTCTCTCTCTCTCTCTCTCTCTCTCTCTCTTCTCTCTCTGGAAGATAGATTTATTTTTTTTTTTATTTAGGTTCTTATTGCTGTATCGCGAGAAATTGCATGGGCGAAGCCAAGAGTACAGCTGAATTAACCGTCGAAGATATACAAAATCAATTAAACGAAGAAGAACGTTTCCAGCTTTTGAGCACTAATCAACCACCAAAGTTCATAAAAGGCCTCAGAAGTTGTGAGGCAAGAATAAATGAAAATTTTCGCTTTACAGTACAAGGTATTCGTATTTCCTCTTCTTTTTTTTTTCAATAAACATGTTGAATGACTATTATCTACTCACGTAGTTTTACACTGATAAAGATACTTTTTTCTTTAGTAAGCGTGGCACCAGAACCAATTCTTTCTTGGTACAGAGATGATGCGTTAATGGATGAATCTGACAAATATCATGTAGCAAAAGAGAATCTTGGCACATGTCATTTTGAAGTGCGAAATCTCGAATTTATTGATCAAGTGAGTATTCATGAAAATATACACTGGTCCAAAAAATTAGAGAATCACTTTTCCTCAGTAAATTTGTGCCCATTTCTAAACTTTGCTTATTCAGCGAATAATTTACGTAAAAAATAGATCAAAAAAGGATTTTTACGTTTTTTTACAATATATTATGCTAAAATCGTAAAAAACACAGAGGTTACTTGAAATTGCAATATCTTGCTAAATAAATGGCGTAAGAAATAGTTTTTTTTTTTTTTTT